AACCAGGTGCCTGGTTTATACCTCAGGGGAGGTAAAGCAGCCTCTGGACACTGGCCTGGGAAACTCATTTACGGGAGGTCACGACTATGCCTCTAAAACAGAAGGAAGGCTGCTTGTGGGAAGGCTGCAGCCTCCCATCCTATGGCCCAACGTGATCCTCTCCCACAAAAGACTCTGCTGCTCACAGAGACCCAGCAATTCTCGGTACCCAAAGATAGCCATGCAGTCATCTGACTGGTGTGCCCTGAGATGATCCACAGAAGACTCAGGACTCGGACGCCATTCAGTGCGGAGCACGTGCTTCCTGGCGTGTTGGTAGTCCAGATGGCCGGCACATTCTTCTGCCAAGAAAAGCATTTCAGAGCACGGTCCACGGCTCCTAGACACCCTGGGCGAGAGCAAATGTGTTACTGCCCACCCTGAAAGCCAGAGCAGCCCCACGCTGCCCCACCAACAAGAGCAGGAACACACCAGGGATCTTGGCTGTCACCCGCCACTCCCTCGCTGTGATCCCGGACTGCTCCGCTCAGCTCTCCATCGTCCCCTCTTGGTCTCTATGTGGACCTTTGGACTTGGCCTCCCTCCCCACGAAACTTGACTTTCCCTAACAGACTCAACTCGAGGTTGGCGCCCACACTGCCCTGCACAGAATACACTGCCTCACTCAGGCTTCCAGGGTGCCAGGGCCTGACCACAGTCCTGTATTATAAAGGGATGAGGGGAGGAGAGCTCACACAGCATTAAGAAACCACAGGAAGCCAGCATTTCGCTCGAAATGGCATCCTAGTGCTCTCCCATGAATGAACCACTTGCAAATAACACCCCGGCCTGTACCAGTATGAGAACAGGAGGTCAGGTGGCCCAGCGGCCAATGGTGTGAGACTCATAGTTAGACACTCCTGGCTCTAAGTTTGACTGTCCCTTATGAGCTCTGTGACCTCTGGCAAATGAATCAACTGCTCTGTGCCTCAGTTTCCACATCTGCAAAGTGGGAGTCAACGTAGACCTTATAAGCACAGGGTTACCATGAAGAACAAGTGAGATAATGTCACAGCTACTATGCTCACTATTGCTTTAAGAATAGTTAATCCACTATATTTAATTAATTCCCTTTCTAAAAAATTTAATTTAACTCATTCTGAGAGCCAATTAAGTGGCTGGAATTGTGAAACAGGAGCCTTCAAAGCTCAAGAGGCTGCCTCCAAGAGACTCATATTTTCTCCTGGACGTAGCTTTGTGTCTTTAACACTGTAGGCACCAAAAGTCCTTGCAGAATTAAAATGTATTCGCAAGCAAGAGCTGGCTTATAACCAAGCCCTGGAAATCTAAATCAATTTCTTAAATGGAAGAATGTAATTACGTAATATTTTGAGGTTTCAGCCGTAACTATGGAAAACAGTGGAGTTTTTCCACTGGAGTCTCTCTCGGTGGGCCTGCCTGGAGGCACGCAGCTCAGCCTCTCACGTAGAGGAATTTTCACTCACCAGGACTTGGCAGGGCCACAGCACAATCAGCAGCCCTACACCTCGTGTCTGGCTCCCCTCAGCCCCCTGAGAAGTCACAGGCTGCAGCGGAGAGACATAGGACCTGGGCTCTGCTGGGTTGCACCACGTTTCTTAGCCTCCCTGAGCCTGTTTCCTCACTTTTAAATTAAGCACACGTTTTTGGCAGGGTTCTTGTGAGGATTCGAGAACGTTCGTCAAACATCTGGCCCAATGCAAATTGGCAAGTACATACTGGATACATTTTGCTAGTGTTATTTATTTTTCCTGTCTAAATTCTACTTGTGAGGCAACTTAACTAGCAGAAGCTTATAAAATCTTCTGAAAAGAACTGGGGTATAGGGAAGACAGCCTCTCTGAGCACCATTCCACTCACTTG